CCCCAAAACCCCAAAACCCCAAAACCCCAAAACCCCAAAACCCCAAAACCCCAAAACCCCGGGATGTCCTAGGATTGTTGAAAACTAAAGATTGACGTAATTTATAGGGTTAAAAGTCAGTATACGAGTATTTTCTCTTCTTCCTCTCCTTCAGAGCTCTACGATCTTCTTCTACTTTCTCATATTTCTGTGCTAAGATTTCGGCGAATGGTATTATCTTAGGCTTCTCTACTTCTTCGTCAGTATTTGAGTCTTCTCAGCTTGGGCAATTCTGATTCGAGTTTGTTGACGTGGCATCTCAAGAATAATGCACCACGTGGCTATGGGCTCATTGGGATACTATTACCATCTGATCTGGTTGTAGGATGCCAGAACAGATTCTGCAAGTATCCTTGAAATGGCTTGAGATAAAGTGTCTTAGCTTAGACAGCTCTTTAGCAAGGTATTCGTGCTGATTATTAAGAATATTCATATTGGGACCATTATTATTTGATTCTTCAACAAGTTTTATGAATAGCCCAAAAATGTAGGCTCCTGCCCAGAATGCTAATATGATGGGCTCTATTGTAAGTAATGTGTGTCCTGTCCAGAGAAGTTGATTGGCGTGAAATCATTGATTTTTAGAATTTATGAATCGTTCGACTACAGTCCAATGCCACGCTAGAAAAATTAGTATTTTATGCTTACTTGATGACCCTAGAAGATATGCCCAAGATATAGTGTTCACTGTAGAATTACTGACCCCATGGTCTCTGATGCACTTAGTTTTGAATAAATAATGAATAACTGCTCCCATTTTGACTAATACAGCCATAGTGAGCAATTCTTGAGTCTTAATTCCTCAATCAGAAGACCCTGATAGCCCTGAGCATGCAAGCAAGATGCTCATAGTCAGAATATGATATGCGATGCAATACCCATTCATTCTAAGTGTTTTCGCCTGATTTTCTAAAATCTCAACCTGCTCTATTGTCTTTTCCGGATTCATTTGGGATTCTTTAGAATTTTTAAACTCTTCCATAAAATTTAATTCAATCCAATAATCATTAACTGGGGTTTTGGGGTTTTGGGGTTTTGGGGTTTTGGGG